TTTCTTGAGGTAGGATTGTATTGCTATAAACTTCCCTCTTAGAACTGCTTTTGCTGCATCCCATAGGTTTTGGGTCATCATGTTTTCATTGTCATTTGTTTCTCAGTATTTATTTTGATTTCCTCAGTGATCTCTTAGTTATTTAGTAGCGTATTGTTTAGCTTCCATGTGTTTGTGTTTTTTACAGTTTTTTTTCCTGTAATTTATTTCTAACCTCATAGCCTTGTGGTCAGAAAAGATGCTTGATATGATTTCAGTTTTCTTAAGTTTACTCAGGCTTGATTTGTGACCCAAGATATGATCTGTCCTGGAGAATATTCTATGTGCACTTGAGAAGAAAGTGTAATCTGCTGTCTTCAAATGGAATGTTCTATAAATATCAATTAAATCTGTCTGGTCGGGGCTTCCCTGGTGGCGCGGTGGTTGAGAGTCCGCCTGCCGATGCAGGGGACACGGGTTCGTGCCCTGGTCCGGGAAGATCCCACATGCCGTGGAGCGGCTGGGCCCATGAGCCATGGCCGCTGAGCCTGCGCGCCCGGAGCCTGTGCTCCGCAACGGGAGAGGCCACAACAGTGAGAGGCCCGTGTACCGCAAAAAAAAAATCTATCTGGTCAGTTGTGTCATTTAAAGCTTGTGTTTCCTTATTAATTTTTTATCTGCATGATCTGTCCATTGATGTAAGTGAGGTGTTAAAGTCCCCCACTATAATTGTGTTACTGTCCATTAGATCGTTGGGTAAGGAAATTTTACAGATGGTTCCCTAAGCTGTGAACCTTGCTTCTGCAATTCACAGATGTGTAAAGATATTTAAATGATGTATTGATGCTGACAGAAAGATAATTACTTTCACTCATAATTAAATTAACTTTTTTTGATAAGACATTAAATATTAGTTTTCTGTTCAGGCATTGAAAACTTTGTTCCACTCCATAGACCATTTCACTGCAAATGAAATCAGAAATGTAAAAGTTTGGTTACCCAGCCTATTCACTGAAATTCACTCTGAATAGTAGGATTTTTAAAAAGGTCCTCCAGTACCTTGCTTGGCCAACTTTCAAAAATTTGATGTTTTCTCTTCTCCTTTCCCCCTACTTAAAAAAAAAAAAAAAAACTTCCCTTTTTGATAAGTTTAGTGTGAATTTGGGGAAGGAACAAGGTTAGATGTGTATTTAATATGTCACTTTAGCTTGGAAGGTACCAATATATATAATTTAAAGTGCTTGACCCAGAATAGGTACAAAATCAATGGTAGCTATTGTTATTGCAGGTGGTCATGGTAGAGCTGTAGGAATCAATGAATATATTTCATTCGTTCCAAGGTATGAGAGACCTTTGATAAATTTGGAAGAGTCTGTTCTCTTGGTACATGCAAAATACACACATTTCTTATGCTTTAATGGATTTTTAGATTCTTTGTTTCCTCTTAGTTTTGTAATGAATATTCAGTTTGAAGATTCTGGCTTATCTTGTGAGAAATACAAGGAAGCCGGGTCTCCTCAAGCATTATTGGGATTGTTAGGGGGATCTCTGTGGCTTCAGACTTGGTCCTTACCATTACTTGTGTTTAGTGTCAGTTGATTCCTCATCTTAGTTGTTCATTTGCATATCATTTCAAACTTCTTTTCTATTTACTTTTTTTATACTGAGTTAATTTCATCATTGTGGCATCATGTCATGATAAAAAATATTCCCTATGGTCCTAGAGGAGGCCTCAGTGTTGGTGGGCACTAAATCATATCAAATTCTGTACGCATTTGTCATCAACTGTCTTGCAAATGCAGGAGAAATATTAGTATGAAGATGTGATTTCTGTTCTCCGTCATCTAAAATTTAGGAGAAAGTGTAAGACAAATGCTCAGGTAACTAAAAATAAAACAGAAGATAGCAAATACCATTATATAGAGTGCTTACTCTGTGAGTCACTCTTTTAAGCACTTTAAAAATAGCTAATTCATTAGGACTTTAGACAATTACTGTCTTCATTTTCATATGGGGAAACTGAGGCACATAGAGGTTAAGTAATTCATCCAAGTCACAGAAGTAATAAGTGGCAGATCTGGGATTTGACCCCAGAGAGTCCAGTCTCAGAACTGGCATGCTACCCTGCCTGTGTTGACCCAAGTGCTATGTGCCTATTCAAGTGAGCGAGTGATCGCTTGTGTGCACACATGACTATGCATGCGCGCGTATGCAGGAAACAGAATGGGATTTAAAGAAGATGTGGCATTTGAGCATCTTCCTGATTTCATGTGTTTCTATGTTCAATTCATTACATCTTGATCTTAACATTCCAATTATACTCTGCTTGAAATACTTCAGAACTCCTGGACCTCTGATTTCTCCCATCAGCTACCCAAGTCTAATCAGGTCAGAACTTTATGACTTTGGACCAATAGCCTTTGTAAAATTTCCAGGGCAAAGTAAAGGTACAGTATGTTCTTTAGAAAAGGTTATAGAATTTCAGACAGAACAGAATGAAAGCCACTGAGTCTGTGACCACACATTATAGAGTTGGTTTTATGATGTGGATTATCAGACCAATTCATCACTGTATCCAATTGATTCCAGGTCCAAAGTCATTTTAGCTCTGATTTTTTAGGTCAACTGAGTAAAGATAGAGAGTGTGGATGATGTGTATGTGTCTGTGTTAGATAGTAAGTGAAGTAGGGATTCCTGCTGAGGCCCAAGCTGTGAGAAGTCCTGCAATTCATATATACCTGGGAAGAGGTAACTAATGGGGCATCAAGGGTCTAAGGGCAGAGGGGTTTGGGGAGGAGTAAGATCAAGGGAGCTCAGGGATGATTATGGGAAAAGGCTTTAGAGAGCGCAGCATGGTCCTGTCTTGGAGATGCTCTCCAAAATGGCCCCATGGGATCATGATTGAGGTCACTGGTTGGAGGGGCTGCAGGCAGCAGATGCCAGAGAGGCTTTTTCACAAAGAGTTTATGTGACTCAGGAGCACAAACAATACCATGTAGGTGCCCATGTGACAAAGCGTGACCAAGGCAGGGAAGAGGACATTCTTCTCCCTTCCTATGGAGCTCAGTGTAACCTCAGTGCAATAAGAACCCCGGAGAAGGGATGGTGACTGTTACTTTTTAATGTAATTTAATTTAAAAAAATTTTATTGGAGTACATTTGATTTACACTGTGTTAATTTCTGCTCTGTTAATTTCAGCAAAGTGGCTCAGTTATACATATATATTTTTTCATATTCTTTCCCATTATGGTTTATCACAGGATATTGAATATAGTTCCCTGTGCTATACAGTGGGACCTTGTTGTTTATCCACCCTATATATAATAGTTTATATCTGCTAGTCCCAAACTCCCAATCCTTCCCTCCCCCTGGCAACCACATGTCTGTTCTCTATGTCTGTGACTCTGTTTCTGTTTCATAGATATGTTCATTTGTGTCGTATTTTAGATGCTACATATGAGTGATATGATATTTGTCTTTCTGTTTCTGACTTACTTCACTAAGTATGATAATCTCTATGTCCACCCATGTTGCTGCAAATGGCATTATTTTATTCTTTTTAATGGCCGAGTAACATTCCATTGTATATCTGTACCACATCTTCTTTATCCATTCATCTGTCAAGGGACATTTAGGTTGTTCCCATGTCTCGGCTATTGTAAATAGTGCTGCCATGAACATAGGGCTGCATGTATCTCTTTGAATTATAGTTTTGTCCAGATATATGCCCAGGAATGGGATTGCTGGATCATATGGCAACTCTATTTTTAGTTTTTTGAGGAATCTCCATACCGTTCTCCATAGTGGCTGTACCAATTTACATTCCCACCAACAGTGTAAGAGGGTTCCCTTTTCTCCACACCCTCTCCGACATTTGTTATTTGTAGACTTTTTGATGATGGCCATTCTGAGTGGTGTGAGGTGGTACCTCACTGTAGTTTTGATTTACATTTCTCTGATAATTAGAGATGATGAACATCTTTTCATGTGCCTGTTGGCCATCTGTGTGTCTTCTTTGGAGAAACGTGTATTTAGGTCTTCTACCCATTTTTCGACTGGGTTGTTTGTTTTTTTGTTATTGAATTGTATAAGCTGTTTGTATATTTTAGAAATTAAGCCCTTGTTGGTCACATCATTTGCAAATGTTTTCTCCAGTCAGTAGGTTGTCTTTTCATTTTGCTTATGGTTTCTTTTGCTGTGCAAAAGCTTCTTAGTTTGATTAGGTCCCATTTGTTTATTTTTGCTTTTATTTCTATTGCCTTGGGAGACTGACCTAAGAAAACATTGGTACGATTTATGTCAGAGAATGTTTTGCCTACGTTCTCTTCTAGGAGTTTTATGGTGTCTTATACTTAGGTCTTTAAGCCATTTTGAGTTTATTTTTGTGTATGGTGTGAGGGAGTGTTCTAACTTCATTGATTTACATGTGACTGTCGAACTTTCCCAACACCACTTGCTGAAGGGACTGTCTTTTCCTCATTGTATATTCTTGCCTCCTTTGTGATTGTGACCCTTACTGAGGGCAGTGGGCAGGGGATAGAGCCAGCTCAAGTGGCAGGAACCTGATTGGTTTGTTTGCAGCATACATGAGACACATTCAGGAAATGTGTGGTGTAGAAACTCATCTTTTCCAGACTAGTCCTTGAATGAATTCTATTGCATGAATTTATTGGAGTGAGATGACTCCAATACAAGTTTGTCACTGTTCTAGGTTCATAAGATAGGCTGTTTTCTTAGTATGGGTCCCCGCAAGAAGAAGACCTTGAGACCAAAATTCTATGCAAATAGTTCATTGCTGAGTTAATTCCAAGAAACACTGGTAGGGAGTGGGGAAGTGAGACAGGGAAAAGAAGGTAGCAAATAAAAGGTGGGTTATTAAGTCAGTTACTACTGTGGGCAACCTGTGTGCAATATCAGTGGGGAAACCCTGGGAAACAGTGTAGAACACACAGCTAAGAGTCATCTCTCCTGAGAGGTATGAGAGCTGCGGTATTCATCCACCCACTCTTGTTATTCCCAGGGCGATGCTAGTTCCTCAACACCTCCAGTGGAAAGACCTGCTCTGGCAGCCAAAGAAAGTCCGCAGAAGAGAATTGCAGGCGCTGACACTGGAAGCCAGATTGGTGTGCATGGAAATGGTAATTGTGGGGATATGGTGGGTTGCAGATGGCACCTGCTACTCCTACGGCGTGGAGGGTCTTCTAGCTTGTTAATTTTGCTGTTTGACATTGCTTTGGACTTTCCTGCTGGCAAACCCGAAAACTTCTACTGCCTCCTCTGTTCCCACTTCCGTTCTTGATTTTCCACTTCACTCTGTTTATCACCGTTTGACCTTGGCTATGGCATTAGAGACTAGTGGAAAGTAACTTCCCTTTCTGTGCCTCACTTTTTCTAATGTGTGAGGTAAGAATAACATCTTTTTAACACTGTTGTATGTACAGACATATCTTGTTGTATTGTGCTTTGCTTTATTGTGCTTTTTATATTGCATTTTTTACAAATTGAAGGTTTGTGGCAATCCTGCGTAGAGCAAGTCTGTCGGCACGATTTTCCCAGTAGCATTTTTTCACTTTGTGTCTCTGTGCCACATTTTAGTCATTCTTGCAATATTGCAGACATTCTCGTTATTATTATATTTGTTATGGTGATCTGTGATCAGTGATCTTTGATGTTACTATTGGAATTGTGTTGGGCGCTGTGAATTGCATCCATATAAGACAGCAGACAGATAAATCGTTCATGAAAGGAGGAATCAGTCGATGCGGCGAACTTCACTGTTGTCTTATTTTAAAAAATTGCTGCAGCCACACCAACCTTCTGCCACCACCACCCTGATGGGTCAGCGGCCATCGACGTTAAGGTAAGACCCTCCACCAGCAAAAAGATTACAGCTCGCTGAGGGCTCAGATGACGGTTAGCATTTTTAGCAATAAAGTATTTTGTAATGAGGTATGTACCTCTTTTTTTTAGACCTCATGCTATTGCACATTTAGTAGACTATAGTATAGTATAAACATAACTTTTATATACACTGGGACACCAAAGAATTCGTGATTCGATTTATTGCAATATTTGATTTATTGTGGTCTGAAACTGAACCCACAGTATCTCCAAGGTATGCCTGTACTGAGGTACAAATTAACATACGAAAAAGAATACGTCATGATCTGTGCTCAAGAAGGGCTTGTTCTTGATCTGCGGTCATACTTGTTTTCCCCTTGGCAAAGCAAAAATTTGGGGACCTTCTCTTTCTGGGATGTTCGAAAGCTGAGATGTGTAGATAAAGGCTGCGTTTGTCCTCTAGAGAGAAAGTGTGTATTTTATGATTTCTCTAATATTTTACCTGAGTTAATTTGATTACATTAAAATTTGATATTTGGTGGAACAGTGTACAACATACTTCATTGATATCTAAGCATATTATATTTATTTTACTGTCTTTCATCCCTTAGCTTATCCCAAAAACAGGGCAGAAAATAGGGACTCAGATTTATGCGGCCACAGCCATGCCCTGAACTCAGGCCAATCTCAGAGCCATTTATTCCCTCAGGAGACTGTGATCTTTTATATTCCTGGCATTTTGTGTCCTGTGGTGTCTATGTTGGCTCTTGATTCGATGAATTACTGCTTTTTGCTCTGAATTATTTAGGATGGAGGGAGGGAGAGGGAAGAGGGAGGAAGGAGGGGGAGAAGGGAGGC